CCCTCAGAGGGTGGGTAAAGCAGGCTGGAAAATGATTTCAACCATGTCAGATCTATAAATCCTGTTCCCTTTGGCTCATCGACATCCCACAGCACCCAGGCAGTGGCAGAGCTCACCCCTGCTGAAGAATTAATGCTTCCTTGCACTAAATGAACATTAAAAGCAGCAAAACAATATCCACCAGCTTCTTAACTGATCCCCGTAGGCTGGAGCCCTGTTAGATTACTGGAGTAGAGGGTTTTTATTGTGGGGTGCTCAGATTTGTAGACAGAGATCTTCGCCTACAGCCGCAGCAGTGGGTAACCGTGGGCAGAGGGGCTTCTAATCTTCCTGAATATATCTGATTGTTCCTTTATAAATGAGCTCAAAAGCTAATTATTTCAAATAAACTTTTGAATAAGAAAGCCTTGTAAGCAACTCTAGCAGGGTTGTGCTTGCAGTTTGCAGCTGTCGTAGGTTAAAAATAAATGCATCTTAACAAAAAAAGGGATAAAGAAAAATCTCTGCAAACACTTGTACAGTCCTGGGTGGGGACACAGGTGTCCGTGTTTCTTGCCCCATTGCTGGCCCCTCCCTTGTTTGATTTCCCATGCACCCTGAGGTCCCCCTGGCCCAGGAGGCTGAAGTCTCCTTTCAGTGAGTCACAGCGTGGGAGGGGAGAGGAGAGGAGCAGCCCCCTGTGCCGGGAGCCATCTCCCTCCTGGACCCAGAGAGCTCTGCCCTCACCCACGGAGCACAAGGGGATCTGGTCCCTTTTTCCTCACCTCCTAGATCCCAGTCTGTCCCCAGGGAGCAGGAAGAAAGCAATTATTTTTTCCCCCCAAGAGTTGAAACAGTGCCCATGAACCCAGGCAGACATTGGGCTCTGCTCTCCTACCCACAACATCCTCCAGAGCCAGGCGGTCTCGGTCACCTCCCTTCCTTTGAAAGTAGCAGAAGCAAAGTCTTATGTTGTTGGGTTTTATTTTGTATTCCATAAAAAAAAACAACACAAAAACTGACTCTGCCTTGGCTGAGAACAACTGCTGGACACAGCTGTTCAGTGCAACTCCACGGACAATGATAATCACTACTGTCAGTGTTAGAATAAAAAGGAAACCCAAGAGCTCTCTTCTGTAGTAGCAAAAGGACTGACACCACAAGTCACAGAAGGAGGTGGGGAAAAAAAGGTAAAGGTTTCTCTTAAAAATATAGCTCTGTGGTAAGAGAAAGGGATGGCTGGGTGTCAACAAGGAGAAAAGCAGCTTGTGCTCTGCTCTGGTCAAACTGCCTCCTCCAGTTCTGTTCCACAGGGAGGGACAATAAACACATCTCTGGGCCCCAGCAGGGCAGGGGGAGGCAGAAAAGTTACACTGCTCTGCTCTAAAAGTCACAGTTAAAAGAAGTTATAAATTATTATTTAAAAAAAAGTTGGAATTCTCCTGATGAGCTTCCTTTTCCTTTCTTCTGTTTGATCTTCACCCATAAATCCTTAATCACAGGAATGCGGTACCTTTGGGGAGAGGAGTTAAAAGTGTTAGGGATGGGGAGGAGAACAGCCTCACAGCTGAGCAGAGCACGGGGCAGAGGCATCTGGTCCACTTCCAGGTGGCTACAACATCACCATCTAATCCACATCACTCTTCCAAGCTCCCTGTGGTCAGCAGGGACAGACAGACACTGCCAGAGGCCGCTCATCTCTGCTGGTGACAGAGGTCAGCAACATCCAAGCTGGATATCCAGTTCTCAGCAGCTAAAGAGTTGAGGTCAGACACATCCAGAGAAGCCAGCACACGGCTGCATGACATTCCTCACACTGCTCCACTCCCTGGCCCTCTAATCTAAGGCCAGGCTGGCTCAGTGACCACTTAGAGGGCACACTGTCTTCCCAAAACTGGCCCAGGAGTTCTGAATTTGGCCAAGGTTACCGCCGCTCTGAGGTACCAATGGATAGTCCCCATCTACAGGCCATGTACCTTCTCACAGTCCTTCAGGCTCAGCTGTTTTCTTCTTCTAAAAAGAAAAGAGGGAAAAATAAATAATTATTATCAACACCACAAACATGAAGGACCCAGCAAAGCCACAGAGGTTTCCTGGATATGTCCCTGTGGAGGTGGTAGCCACCACGAGGAACATCCTGTAGTCTCCCTCTGAGCCCTTGGAATGGGATGCAGTAGCCTGCCAAGCCCTCAGCAGCTCCAGCTTCTGCTGAGAACAAGATGAACAGAGAGCTGAAGAGCAGCACTTACTCCTTGGACAGGCTCTCTCTGCCACCAAAAGGGCCCCTGGGTTTGACCCTTCCAGGGACAGGGATCTCTCCTGGGGCAGCACTATAGGAACAAGCCCTTCTTCAAGCCACCCTAATCCCAAACAAAGATCAGGACTTCTCAATGGCCACAGTGAACTGCAGGCTCCTCTGTACTGCCAGCAAGGCCAGGACATGGCTCTGTTCTTTCTCCAGCCTGGCACGCTGCCAGGATGGGATGAGCACCACAGCCATGGCTCAGAACAGCTCTGCCCACGGTACCCCAGCCCAGGGTCTGGCACATACCTTCTTCTTCTTCTTGTGAACCTCAGCAGAGCCATCTGCTACAGGCTCCCCTTCAGAAGACACCTTTTTGCTTTTCTTCTTTTCTTTTCCAGTCTTCTTTTCTGGGAGACGGAAAGAAAAGCCAACTAAGAGAGAGATTCTGGTATTGTCAGCCTCTGAGAGGGAGCACAGACTGGCAGGAGAACCCCAGTAAGTTTTTGATCACATCCAAACTTGAGCAAGCTTTCCAGAGCAGGAACTGGGTGAGGCCAGAAGCCTGCTACAGGCAGCTGTACCCAGGGATGTTTCCCCAATACCTCTGAGCCAGAGCAATTTGATCCCACCATCTGTCTACACATGTGGGTGGAATTACATAGGATTCCCTTCTTTCCATATCCTGCTGCCCACCCGCTCCATGGAACCGCTTCAGGGCTGGAGGAGCTGGGCACATGCCAGAAATGAGAGCAAGGGGAGCTGCTAACACAGGATGGGCATGAGGTTCAGCTCAGCACAAATGCTCCAAGAGGCTTCAGCTCACCCATGTGCAACTGCCCACACGAGGGCCAATGGACAAGTCTGTCTGCTCCAAAAATAAGGGCTGCATTTCAGCAGAACAGAAACCCCAGCAGATCTGGCCCAGCCAATCCATCTCCTTTTCTTTTTTTTTCCAAAGCCTACAAGATGCAGCACAGAACCAGCTCTGATTTGCAAATGCAGGCTGCACTGCAAAGAAAAAAATGGCCTTTGGATTAGGGCAGCAGGCAGAGCACTACAGAATGGCAAGCTGTAGAAAGGTAGCAAGTGACAGGACAAGAGGAAATAACCCAAGTTGAGCTAGGGGAGGTTTGGATTGAGTATATGGAAAAATTTCTTCACTGAAAGGGTTGTCAAACACTGGAACAGGCTGCCCAGGGCAGTGGTGGGGTCACCATCCTTCGAGGTATTTAAAAGATGTGGCACTTGGTGACATGATTTGGGAGTGGGCCTGGGTTAATAGTTGGACTTGATGATCTTAGAGGTCTTTCCAACCCAAATGACTCTGATTTAAGAGGGAAGCAGCCAAGCAGGAAGCCAATGGGGAAGTGGGTGCTACTTAGGAGGCCCTGCACTGGAGGCTGAACATGCATCAACTGCAAGAACCTACTGCCAACTAGGCCCAAGTGTAGCATGCTTACTTTTAGCTGGTTTTTTCTTTTCCTTGCTGCCTGCTGTCTTCTCTGGGTCACCATCTTCTTTCTTTTTTTTCTTTTTGGGTACTTCTTCATTAGCCTGCCCTTTCCGTTTCTTCTCCTTGGGCTGCCCCACAGCCCCATCCTCTCCCCCCAGTTTCCGCTTCTGAGACGTTTTCTGCTTCTTGTTCTCTTTGTCTTTGCTCTTAGACGGTTTCACAGCCTTGTCTGCCGTGGAGGATGGTTTCTTCTTTTCCTTCTTTTCTTTTTTCTCCTTTTTCTTCTTCTTCTTCGCTTCCAACCCTTCCACTGCCTGCACTCCAGGGACTTTGGCAGCAGTGGTGACCTCGGTTTCGCTCCCTGAGCTTGGCTCCCCTGCCTGTGGGACGGAGAGTGGGGTATGTGATGGTGCTGGGGTCACTTGCACCTCTTTTGCACCAACATCATTCTCTTTTGCTGCCAGGGCTTTCTTGAGTGAAGGTTTGCGGCTGGCATGACCTGGCTCTGTTTTTCCTGCCACCTTCTCTTTGCTGGAGGCTTCTGTGGCTTCCTGCCCTGAAGGGGGGTTGTTTTCTGCAGAAACAGTGACAAGAGAGAGAAGAGAACTCAGGGAGCATTCATTACACAGACCACAGTCACAGGAGGATGGAAACATGCATTTGAGGAGGAGCATCCAGTACTCCTCCCAAGAAAGCTAAACCTGCTGGCTACCTATAGCAGAGCCAAAGAAAGATGCCTCAGCCTGAGATCAAGTATCTGGAGAGGGAAGGGGGTGACAACACCCAGAACAGCTTTGGCTGTTTGACAAGATGGGTGAGCACAGATAGAGCAGTCCTTCCTCAGGACACCATTCCCAGGAAGTCAGGGACTTACCAAGGTGGTGGGGGTATCCACACCACCACATTTAACCATCATCCATGGCAAACCCCAGTGCACCTGGGCCTTCTTGAGCCCATATATAGCCCTGACCTCCTCAACACTCTTTTGCACGATGTAATTATGTGCCCAAGGGGCCAACAGACCTGTTTGAGCCTCTAGAGCAGGCCAGAGCTCACAGCCAGGCCAGGGTTCACACCAGAACAGAAGCAGCTTCCAGCTCCAATTTTTGCAATTTGCCAACAAACCAGGGAAATGGTGGGACTTTTCCTTTCTCCACACATCTTCCCACTTGCTTCTCCTGCTCTACACTCCAGATATGCTTCACAGACCCCACA